GACTGGCCGAGGGCTCTGCCGATATTGCATGGATGCTAGGATGCAAAGAGGAGGGCTTTCCGGGTTTAGGGTTTAGGGTTTAGGGTTTAGGGTTTAGGGTTTAGGGTTTCTGTCTTTGTGTTTTTGGGGGGCCTGGGGCTCGCGTAAATTTGTCTGGGTATGTTGACGGATCTTAGGGTGCAGTCGATTTTCTCCGGCGTTTAGAGTTGCCTATCTTTCAGTCCTCAGTAAACCCGACAGGCCGAAAACTAGAGAACCCTAAACCCTGTGTGCCTTAATCGCGAAACCCTAAATGTAGAAGCCCAAGCCCTAAACCACAAACCCTAAAACCCCAAACCCGAAGCCGCAAAACCTGAATACTAAACCCACACCCTAAACCCCAAACCCTATGCCCGGAACCCTAAATCCTAAAGTTTGGGAGTTATGATGGGTGCATCAAAAGGTCCTTGAGGAGGCTCCTTGTTCACCTTGCACTCGAGGTCTGTGCTTCGGGTTTAGTATAACCTAATCCAACATGCGGGGGTCTATGTCTAGTTAAGTCTGGTCTAGCTTGGTCAAGTACAGTACAGTACGGTACAGAACAGTACAGTACAGTACGGTACGGTAGTACAATACATGGCAGTACTTGGTCATGGGACTTTGTAAGTAAGGTTATAACTACCTTAACTGGGGTTATAATTACTTAGAAGTATAGTTACCTTATTTATAACCCTGGTTACTAAGTCCCATGATCCTCCAAGTAGGACAACACAGCATGGCAGAGCAGAGATGAGCAGGGTATCGCTTCGGTTTTAGTAAAGTCCTGGTCGACGTTTGGCAAGTTGGGGGCAAGCCTGCAAGGAGGAGTAAGCACACACCGTCTGTGAGACTCATATAGGCTCATTCTGACATAGAAAGACGGATAAATAGCTATACAGAGGGAGAGGAAGACAAGGATAGAGAACCAGGGAGAGAGAAAGATTTAGAGGGAGCGATGGAAAGTGAGATGCCGAGCCATGCAGAGAGACGGAGAGAAAGAGAGAGAGAGAGAGGGGGTTTGGGGTTTAGGGGTTTAGGGTCTAGGGTTTAGAGATATGCAAGTGTTGCAAGTGAGGCTCAGGTTTGAGATCGGCTATCCCGAAACACGAAAATCTCCCCTGAATCCCTGAGGCCCCTGAAGAAGACTTTGCACGATGGTTTTATGAAGCACTCACCAAGATAGGGCTCGGAGTAACTAGCAACGATAACCCTCTCTTTCTACACCAAAACTCCTGCTCGAATGTTTTAGGACCCCACGTTATGCCCTCTCCCGAAACTCTCAAACCCCGAGTAAATCCCGATAAGACATGATGAACTTGTTCTAGAACCTTATAGGCGATCTTATAGAAACCCTAAACCCTAAACCCTTTAAGCTTAAACCTAAAGCCCGCTTTGGCTGCGCAGAGAGGCGCTGCGGGCCTATTTCAGCTTCTCGGCCAGGAACAGCCTCTGGGGGCGCTTGGGTTCCCCCAAAGACTCCAATACCCCTTTATTAAGTGTTTAGGGTTTAGGGTTCGGGGTTTGGGGTTTAGGGTTTAGGAATATACCTCAAATCTTGTTGGGAATCCTACTATAATTGAAGGTATATTCCTTCATTAAGGGGTATTGGAGTCTCTGGTTCTCGTAGTGACGAGTAGAAACGGTAATGTAGGAACCTGATTAAGAAACCCTGGGTCCTTGTTAGGGTCTTTATATGAATCCTATTATTTTGGGGTTATAGGGCCAGGGTTTCTTAATCAGGTTCCTACATGTAGGAACCTGATTAAGACACCCTGGCCCTATAGCCCCAAGTAGATTAGAGTTCATATTAATAAGAACCCTAATAAAGCCCCAGGGTTACTTAATCAGGTTCCGAAATTATTGAGCTAGCAGTAAGAGTAGGAGTGGTGGCGGCAATGGTTTTTTGCGGCACTGGTGGTGGTAGTACTAACAGCAGCAGTAGTGACGCAGTAGTGTCAGATAGCAGGAACCCAGAGACTCCAATACCCCTTAATTAAGGAATGTACTTTAAATCTTATTAGGGATCCTATTATAATTTAAGGTATATTGCTTAATTAAGGGATATTGGAGTCTCTGGGAATTCGAACTGATAGATCCCAGATCCCGTCTCAAGTCATCTTCTCTGCCGAAGCCTAAACCCTAAACCCTAAACCCTAAACCCTAAACCCTAAACCCTAAACCCTAAACCCTTGACTGACAGCTGCAAGCCCTAAGCCCGAGCTCGAGAGCTTCAGAGACGGACAATAGAGGCCTAGAGGTTGCGTGATTTGCTTTAGGGGTTTAGGGGTTTAGGGTTTAGGGGTTTAGGGTTTAGGGTTTAGGGTTTAGGGTTTAGGGTTTAGGGTTTAGGTGTCTACCGTGTTTTTCTCGTGCCTCTGTGCTAGTGTTCGTGGTGCAAGGTCGTGGCTGCGCTCTCCCAGCCTTTGCTGCCGGAGCATACGACAAGGCGGGATGTGTGCTTGCAGCCCCGGTTTGGGCTTTCGCATGCACATGTCTTGGTCAGCCATAGGGCCTAAACCCCTAAACGCTTGCTGACAGAGTACCCTATGAGACACCAGAACACCCTGATCCCTAAAAATCCCTGCTGGGTTCTGGAGTACTATACTTTATGAGTTGCTCTGATTGGACCGGTTCCTTCCAAGAATCATTATGAATCAAAGGTTCATGCCTTTTTGCCCCTTGGTTGCTTCCAAGCCCGGACTCCTACTAGTACCAGTTCACGAAAATCCGACAGACACAACCCTAAACCCTGAACCCCTAAACCCTAAACCCTAAACCCTAAACCCTAAAACCCTAAACCCTAAACCCTAAACCCTAAAACCCTAAACCCTAAACCTTAAACCCCACAAGACCCTAAACCGCAAAGAGCCCTTTCAGGAGACCTGCCTCTGGGGCTGGGGCCAGGCCCGGGGTGCTTGCAGTGCTCTCAGAGTTCCGCTGTAGCCGAGACCCGACCGAGCTCCGGGGAGGGAGGCTTGCTTTAGGGCCTTGGCTTAAGGGTTTAGGGTTTAGGGTTTAAAAGTTTAGGGTTTAGGGTTTAAAAGTTTAGAGTTTAGTTTAGGGTTTAGGGTTTAAACGTTTAGGGTTTTGGGGATTTTTTTTAGTTTAGGGTTTCTATCAGGGTTTAGGGTTTAGGCGGGTTTAGGGGTTTCTTCAGAGTTTCTACAAGGGCGCAGGGTTTAGGGTTTATTGAGGCGCGGGGCTTGGTTTTTTTTTACAACGGCTTAGCGTTTAGGGTTTCTACCTATAAAGCTTCTACAGGATAGAGGGCACGCTTTCGGCTTCTATAGCAAGCATAGGCTACCCCCACACCTCACATCCTATACTCCCCCTACACTTTCACCCCAGTTCTCAATCCGCCTAACAAATCAACCCTTCCAAGCCGGCAATACACAATGCACCTCCCAAACCCCACACCGAAATCCCACATACAATCCAAAACACAAAGCACCTCCCAAATCCCACGCCGCAATCCCAAATACAATCCAAAACACAAAGCACCTCCCAACACAACACCAAACCCCAAAGCACAAAACAAAATCCGAAGCACCGCCCTAACCTCACATCTCACAACCTAGACCCCCCCACGCTTTCACCCCAATTCTCAATCCACCTAATAAATCAACCCTTCAACCCCGCAATACACAAAGCACCTCCCAAAACAAATACAATTATCCAGAACACAACCCACATACACAAAGCACCTCCCAAAACAAATACAATTATCCAGAACACAACCCAATTCACAAGGCACCTCCCGAAACAAATACAATTATCCAGAACACAACCCAAAACCCAAAGCACCTAAACAATACATAACCTCAGTCATTCTATAACCAATATCCTAATGAAGTGTGGGGTAAGGCCCTAATAGAAAAAAACAAAAGATAATAGCCCTGAACTGGGGAATGTCCTTTACATAGAATAATATACTCACAAAATCAATTTCATTGTTAGCAAGCCATGTTAAAAGGTCATCTATATGATATAGATAGCCTGTGTCATTTATTATTGGCGTTCGTTTCTAATATTTCTACTGCGGATAAATAAGGATATCTGGCATCCATAAATCTTTCAAATGAAAGATCGTCTTCAAAATATGGTTTTGCTATGCGTCTATCAATTCATAACTAATTGTCCTTTGAATACCAGTTGCATTTTACTTTGCAAAGCATTTCATTGCGGTCAATGTATTGTAGAATTAGATGAATTACACTCCTGCAAGGAGTGTAGAGGGTTGCAACGGTTAATCCACTGAAGCACAACTCCACAACAGGAGCATTACACGGGTATTGAAGCTTCACGACCATGCTAGAATGATCCATGGCACACCTCGTGATCTCGACGTAGTGGCTCCTGCAGCTGTGAGGCACGCGCGAGGCGGCGTGACATACCTCGTCTGCAGGGTGAGTGGCGTTGGCACAGAAACCCCCACTCCTTCGCTACTGGATGTACGTCTTACTTTCAGGTTCAGGAAGTTCAGGATTGCTTCGGGACAGAAAAGCTGCTGGATGCAAACTCTTTTCTCACACAGCGGGAGCAACGTTCGGAGCGACACACTGAGCGACGGACCCAGTGCAAGGGCGTTCCCGAGCAGGAGAGGCGGCGCGCACCAGGACTGGCGTTGGGTCCAACCTCCTTGTTTCAGACTGCGCAAGTGCCATCCACTGCCAGCAGCTGTCGCAGAACATGCATGGCCTTCAACAGAACTGTGGCATCATCCAACATCGTTGTTTGTCACTGAGGCTACAGCAATCCGGGCTCGCTTGGCATCGCCCTGCGTTGAGAAGATCACGTATGTGTGCTTTCTTTGTCTTCTCTTGTCGTGTCGTGTCTGTCGTGTCTTGTCATTGTCTTATCTTCTGATCTCGTCTTGTCTTCTGTCTTGTCTTGTACGGTGTGGCATGGTATCGGTATGTGGCATTGTAGGATCGGGCAGGGCAGGGTGTTGCATGCATGCATGCATGCATGCATGGGCACATGCATGCGTGGATGGATTAATGGAGGGATGGAGGAGTGGAGGGATGGAGAGATGGATGGATGGATGCATGAATGCATGCATGCATGGACGGACACGCATGCATGGATGGATGGATGGATGAATGGATGAATGGATGGACGGGCTTTATGCATGTATGCATTTGCGCATGTGCGTGCGTGTACGCGTGTCCTTTTGTGCATCCAGCCTGCAAGAGCCTCTGCTGGGAACCTAAGTCCTCATAGATGCATGGGTGCATGCATTTCGACTGCATTCATTGTCTCTTTACACTTGTACTTACATACATACATACATACATACATGCCTACCTACCTACCTACCTACCTACCTACCTACCTACGTAGGTACATACCTACCTACCTACCTACCCACCTACCTACCTACCTACATACATACATAAACGGATATACTCGTTCTTCGGGGTTTCACGCATTTCTGCGCTCCCATTAGAAAGGGAGGGAAAGAGAGAGAGAGGGGGGCATGGGCCTGTTCGTTCACGAAGCAGCTCAAATTCTGTCGCGTTGGCTCTGCGCCAGCACGCAAAAGTCTCAGCACCTTTCTCCAGGGTAGGGCGCTGGCAGTCAACACTGCAGATTTCCAGGCAGGACGACAAGACTATGAGAAGAAACATGCCTGACCTCGGGCAGCGCGGCATTTCCCGCAAGAATCAAGTTCCGCAGGCGTGCCTCCATTGCTGCACACTACGGTCGAGAAGCACAGTTTTACATGCGCAGGACGTGGTTGCTTGCAGACGCGCTCACACAGGACTGTTTAGATCGGAATGAGGATACTCAGGTACAAAGCCGTAGAGGAACTGACCTTTCTAAAAACAACTTCGCATTCACCAGGTATTGTGCACGAAAACATCCCGCAGCTTCTTCTGTCATCCTTCCCACCCCTCCCTCAGAACGCCGTTGCCGCAGCAGCCAGAGCGCGCATCTTTTCAGAGCGGCCTGGATCAAGCCAGACTCTCATCAAGCTCGCGACAACCGGTGGAACCGCTAGAACGCAGCTCGGAAACAACACCAGTGCAGAAGTCGCCTGCACGCGCACAGATCTCGAAAAGGGTCAGTCCAGGCGAGTCTGATGGAAAACACTCCTCGGCAGCTCGGCTTGGCATCGAATGAAACGCGTGACCCGACCCGCCATGGAGCAGTAGTGCCTTGCCGAGAGACAAGTGACACGTGCCTATCAGTTCAACCTTATAAGTGGACGTCCAGAGTCGTCGTTGCCGCGCTTTGCGTCAGCTGCTTCAGAGGCGAACTTCTGTGGCGTGTTCACTGAAGGGCACAGCTCCACTGTTGCCGAGGGGCGCGAATTCTCCTGGCTTGTGAGGCAGTGGTCCTTAGCTGCGCTTAGCGAGCACAGACACGGAACGGAAGGCTAGGCTTGGAAGACAGGTCATGAGCAGCGATGCTTCAACATTCCCAGCTTCTCACGTGACAATTTCCCATTTGTGACTTCAACTGCACCAAGAGTTGAACGATGTTGAACGAAAACCCTTCTTTTAGTCGGTCGAAGCTGGAATTGGTCTTCGGATGTCGCGCAGCCGAGATACAAATTGTGCAGAGCTTCGGCCACTTCTTTGGGACTGATGCTGTAGCACAGGTCGAGCTGTACATCCTTGGGAACTTCGTGGGCGCATTCCGAAGAGATCTCATGCGCAAAGAAAAAGCACGCTGGACAGCGACACTTATTCAATCCGGCAAGTGTTCCAATCTGCGGGCAGCAGGGGCACCAATGCCGCTTTTTTCACGATGGCTCAGTCCAACGTCGGTGAAACAAAGTCGGCGAGTCCTTGGACTCAGTGCGCAGAAGCGCTCAGAGTATACAAGAGGTGGCTTTTCCACTTCACACGAAAACCATGGCTCCGGCGCACCCCTCACGCCCCCTCAAGCTCGGAGCGAGGGTTCGGCAGCTTCAGGGCACGAGTGATCCTCACAGCCCCAATTCAGACAGCACCCGCAACGCCCAGACTACTTCGCGTGTCTACTCTCGTTCATTTCACGCATGAGACATCTCTATACGCTCACAGTCTGTGGCGTTTCACTCGCATGTGGCAGTACTGCTGCGTTGCGATCTGTGGCCTGTGTCTCTGCTCGCGGCTTGCGATCTCCAGCAAGGTCGGCTTTCAATGTTGGTGCTCGCCCGCCAACAGCTTGTGTATGCTTGTGTTTTCAAACTTCAAACCGTGCGGAAGAAGATCGATTGCCGAAACAACTACAAGGACTTCACATGCATCGTGCATTCATCGGGAATTTCTTCTATTCCAAGTTGAGGTAGCTGTTGCGAGGTGTGCGTGTGTGTGCATAATCGTCCGCAGGAGCGCGCCATGTAGGATAAAAGGCTGACGCATGCGAAAGACCCAATGCAACTGCTTGTGCACTTTAATGCACTTTACATCCCCAAAACAAGCGTCTGAGAGATCTTCGCATCCAGCTGCTTCAGGTCTGCGCGGAGGGCAACTTGGTCGATAGCCCGGGCCTCGGGAGGATTGTCCATCTCCCAAGCAGCAGAGTCTCCTGCCTACAACAGTGAGACGAAATCTGTAAGTGCAGAAAGTCCAGGCACCTGAAAGCATACCGACCTTGTGTAACACAAATGGATCATCTACCCACGTTCGTCCGGAAGCTTTGTAAGTTTCAGGCTGGCCCTTTGCATCGCCTTGGCACATGAGGGCCATCTCACAGGAAAGTCACCCTCTCAGGCGGCATGACCAAGCTGGGCTTGTCAGCGGGACGCTGCCATGCTCAAACAACGGCCAAGGATCAGGACGCCATCAATGAACTCTTCCTGCGTTATCTCCTTGGGCACCAAGCACACCATCCATCTCATGGGCTTAAGTTAGACACCAAAACCGTGCCAGTACGAGAAGTATAAATGAGTGGATGTCTGAAGCTGCGTCTGCTTTACAAACTGTACGCCGTCAATCCCACTCCCTCTGCCGGCAGGCCAAGTTTCGCCATCACCGTTATCCAAAAGACCTCGGAGGACACAGCCAACACGGACGTTGACGATCCGTAGCGCGGGAATCTTCAACTGATAAGCCGTTACGCAAATGAGGCGACAGCTGAAAAGTGCCGAAGTCTCAGTGACGTCCAGATCCAGCGTTTGAAAATAAGCAAGTGCCTTCGGACTTTCCAGGATAGATGCCAATCGCTCCTCTGTTATCAATCCGTCCACTGATCCTCCGATTGCATGAAATACCTCTTGTAATTTTTGTACATACTTCTGCTTGTTTCGCAGGCGCTCGATGACCAATGTCTCGTCATCATTCCGAGCTGCCTCCAGCGTGTCTTTCAAGAACACCGCTGATATTACCCTAATGGCAGCAAAAACTATTATAGTGATATAGATGAGGAAGAAGATGACATAGGCTTGGTTAACCTTCTCGAGCACAGGTCTTGCGCTGGTAGGCCAATTTCCTGCAAAAGTGATCCTTAGATCGGCGCGGAATTTGTAGAGGCTGCACCCTGTCGCGCTAAGGATCAGTAGATGCCGGCATTGCTCGCAACACACGTCTTCAGATTAGTGATGCTCTGATTGCCAAATGACGTAAGACTGCTGATCTGATGGAAACCCATGTACTAACCGATGTCTCAGGACCCCGAAGCGAATGGGCGCCATCCGCACTCGGGCGCGCAAGCGCCTACTGAGGTCTGACCCAATTCCCTGCCCTGCATTGTGACTGTACTTCTATTGGCAGTTTGGCCGCATCCTTACTACCATGCTCTCCGCTTCGGAAGTAGTGCAGGTGACTGAGGGTTTTTGAATCCGCCTGGGGGACCGTCCCCGAAGAGCTCCGGAGAGTGATGGTGCGCTGTTCAGGTTGCAGAAAGTGTGGCAAACCTTTGTTTATAGAAGGTAAGCCAAGTCGTTGGATTCAGAGATGACTATTGCAGAAAGTATTGGGAAAGTCAGAGGTATCGAGCGACGTCTTCCAGTTGGGCTTCGTGGCGCGGCAATGTTGCACGACTGCTGAAGGAGGCAATGGCACATCTCTCGAAAGCCCTGAAGAGTCACTCCGAATCCGGCTTCTCAGGCCAAAGAATGTCACATGTCACAGTGCAAGGAAGACAGGTTCCCTCTGCCAAGCAGGTTTGCCCTGCGATTCAACTCATGCCAGCGATGCAAACAGCATGCAAAATAAAACGCACATGAGCTACTCTAACGCTCAATTCCCAATGGCAAAGTCTAGGATCTCGTACAGGGTGTACATGGCGCGGTAAGCCGTCCCGTACCGATTCCAGATCCATACTCTGTCATCGAAGTTGTTCAAAGGGTCTGTGATGAAGTCTTGCAGCAAGTTGCCCAAAACCAAGGTTCCCATCCACATAAATACCAACAGCAACACCATACTCCAGCCCAAAGATGGCAGGAAGCAGTAGCAGGCCTTGACGAGAAGCCGCAAGCCACGAAAGAACCGGAAGGTTCGGACCAAGCGGATAGCGCGAACACACTTCAACACTCTGACCATGCGCAGCATGACAATATTCTGACCTTCTGCTTCATCCTCGGCAAGACAGGAGATTCCCAAGGTCTGGACAAGCAAACACGAGCCGTATCATCTCGATTAACTACGATCAACTGCAACGTTTCTTTTGGAAACAAGCACGACTATACTAAGTAAACTTTTGCTTACATTGTGATCTCATGTGTCCAGCCCCTATTTTGCCAGGCGGCACTCATCGGTAGAATCACGAACATGTCCACTAGGCCCGCGATCACAAGTAACGTGTCGAACCAGTTCGCCACGTCACGGACAAACTGAAGCTTTTCCATAAAGATTCGGAGCAAAAGCTCTGCCAGAAACACGAAGACAAAAACCGCGTCCTTGAGTCAACATGCGGCTTGTGTGTCGCACTAAGCGCAACTGAGCTCCCCTCTGGACAACTCTTGAAAGGGGAAATCCCTGTGAGATCCTGTGAGTTTCTGCGGCAGTCCTAGCTGAGTTTTGTGTGAGGATCGCCGTCACTGCGCCTATCAATACTCATCCTCTTCAGTGACCACTAATGCCAGGCAAGTCGCCAAAGTCCGAAAGAGCGGAGACACGTCGTTGAGCGTCGGACCCTCCCCCATGCCTGCAGGCAGGTCGAAGTGAGCTTCTCACACATGCGCACATGTCCGCCCCGGCCGCGCCTATCAAAGCTCCGACAGCTCGTCCTTCAACCTCCAGTTCGACCTGAAGAGATCGGCTAGCGACATAACGACGTAACGCGACCTGTCTGTCGTCATTATCATTCGCTTTCGGGGGATGCAGACATTGGGACCCGCAACTCTGTACAGCCGAGCTGCAAGCATCACGAAGGAGTTGATCAGCACAAGCATGCCTGCAAGCAGATCTGTCCAGGCCTTGCTTCGATCGATGAAGTTGTCCAGGCCAAGTAAATCTTCTGCTGTTGGCTTCGAGTTCGCTGATTTCTTGGACTTTGCCCGAGACGGAGAAGTTGGGACGCTGAAGGTAGAATCTATCTTCCGCAGACTAGAGCTGTGCTGATGTGCATCGAAGCCGTCACACGACAGCATGTCTGTCTGGTCAGGGACATCTTGGAAAACTTCCTGCATGTCGTCATCATTCCCCTCCGCGGTACACAAGTCGCAAGGACTCGTCGCGCACAGTGCACGCCCTCGCCTTCCAAATCCTCCACGACTGAGGAGATCCGACCGCTCCATCCTAGCGAAAGCCAACTGCACCGACATGGAGAACGACGCATGATGTTCCTCCGCGAGCTGCAGCAATTGGGCTTGCTCTTCGGAAATAACGCGCAGGATCTGATCTATGTCCTCAGCCCACACCGTCGGTTTCGGCATGAGCAAAAGACACTCACCTGCCAACTATCTGAGCCCGTCTCCCTTTGGGAGACAGGCTGTCCGGCGCTTCTTGCCAAATGGCTGCAGGAAGTGGTACGCCGAGCTCGATCTGACAGCAGAACCTTGTATGGCGGGCATGTCCTCCGAGGTCCTGGCATCGATGTTGGTCTGAAAGGTGGTGGCATCAGAAGAATCTACGAGGACTTCGACCAGCAGCTTCGCTGTGAGTACCTGCAGCATACGAGCATGCCTGCAAAGGCTCATGGGAAGAGGGGAGTGTTCGCATGCAGTCAAGGCTGATGGCAAGCTCCGGCGTCAACATGAATCAACTGTCCTTTTCCGGAGTCCGGTTAAACCTCCCTTCTAGATTGCCCCGCACCGGCAATGAGCTCAGAGGCCCGGCTTCCACCTTCGACACGGCGACACCGGAAGAAAGTAACGAGAACGCTTCATTTCTTGTCTGCATCAAATTCTCCGTGGCCTCGCTGAAAGCGTCCTGGAAGCATGGCTGCAAGGCATAAGACTGGAGGGTGAGGAATGTTTTGCTTGCGGCGCGAAGAAAGCGATCCCGCTCTCCCCTAAACTCGCTAAACCGCTCAACCCGACACACATGCATTCACTCTGATGCTGTGCTCCTCCTGATGCAGCTCTTCCAGGTTGCTCCAACGCGACTGCCTCCAGAATGTGCGCTCGCCACAATTCCGGAGTACCGTATGCAAGCTCTGAACACTGCCTGGAAGCTTTGAAGACCCCTTCATCCTCCAACAAGGTGATAGCTCTAGCTCGTGCAGACATCCTGTTTGTGGCCATCAGCAGTTTGCAGCTCAGCGCCGCGTGAGGAAGCACAGGGCATCAGGCTGCTGACCAGCTTGGCTGCAAAGGCTTGGGGTCCAGGCTGTGGGGGGCGGTGAGTGCTCGCAATTGAGGACTTGGGGGCTAGGCTGCAAGACCTAACGAACATCTTCGGCACAAGGCAGCGGCCAGAAAATTGCCTGTCAATGAAACTCCAGTGGCCCAGCCTTGAACCGAAAACATGTCCAAGTTTTCGTCAGGCATGTCAGGCAGACAAGCCCACCACTACCCTGCCGCTTCCCTGCGCCCCCACGACACTAAACAAAGTAGCTTCACAATGCTTGGGCTACGCGCTTCCTGGGCCACGGCAGCCTCAAATATTCGCAAGCAGCAAAGATGTTCAGGGCACATGCCAGCTTTATATTTGTAGAAAATTGTGAGGGGGAAGTCTGGGGAGCAGACCATGAGTTCATCAAACTTCTGTTCCATCTTTGCGAAGGCCCACGACCTGAGCATGCGCGAGAAAACGATTGTGGCATCAAGCTCAGCTAAGCGTGATCTTGCACCTGGCAAACATCCAGAGTTGCGCAAGCGTGCACCACCGCCGCATCCGCCACAGGGTCCCAGATCGTCAGTGGCACACACCGAAGCAGCAGCCATGCTCGAAGCCTGGCAATCCGCTGTTGTCCAGAGGGATCTCTGCCATCTCATCTCGTCGGTCCAGGCTTCCGTCGTTGTGTTCCGGGACGATACCGATGCACAGCTCGCTGGAATAGCCTGGACACCTTTCCAGCCACTCCTTTCGTCGTCGTCGTCGGTTTGCATCAGCTGGGCAACAAGCAGAGAGCCACACGAGTGCGCAGATACTCGTCATCGACCCAGAGCTGGTCACGTTGCACGTTGTCAGAAATCACCACACTCCCGACGTCATGGCTGAGTTCCTCAGACTGATCTGTAAGCTAAAGGAGGGACCAAAACGTCCATCAAGGATGATGCATCTATGGACGAGTAGCACTTCTCCCGTCATGTCGCGCAAGCACAAGTGCCTGTCAGTATATGCTAGCCGCTAGCGACGACTCCACAGCATAATCAGTACAGTACACCGCGTGTGCCGTGACGGGAATGATATACTATGTTTGTTTTGTGCTGTTCCAACGAGTGCAGACATATGCCGGAAATATTTTTGTCACATAGCTGGAACATGAAAGCCACAGCTTCTTCACCCAAGAAGTCTACAGCTTATTGCTTGCTTGCCTCTCAAGACACAGACACGCGACCTCGAAATATCCGACACATTCGATCCACCAGACCATGAGTACCCTTAGCCAGCCTCTGCCATGCAGTGAACCCCCACGGCCCGCAGGCCCTCGGCGTAGCTCCGACGCTCGAGCTCCGAGCGCTCCTGCATCGTTCCAGCCGTCAGCCACAGACATGCTGCATTTCCACTTTACCAGCTCAACATGAAACAATCTCCAGTAATTGACTTCCTACACCAGCATTGAAACCTAGAACGGGTGCCCAGGCTCAGGGTTCTAAACGTCTGCTACTGTTATGTCCTACAATTTGCATAGGCCTCGTCCTGCAACTAAGGATCCTCGTGGTTGCAGCATGCCTGGCACTCCTGTGTGGCACTTCTCCAGTACTCCTCTGCAGGAACTCGCTTGCCGGTAAACACCTTCACCTTCAGAGCCATGGCGGCGCGCACAGTTTATGGTAACTGGTATGTTTGGCATCCCTGATATCTAAAAAGACACCTGCTGGCTTCGCTCAGTATGGTCAGCATTCTTGAACTAATTATGTTGCCGGCAGTTTGATGCCAGGTGGCAGTCATGTCCGGCCGTACACCATCTTCAGCCTTTACATTGTACATGGAGAAAGGGAAGGGCGGGAGGCGGCATGCAGCTTTTGCAATTGCTTGCACATGAGCATCAATATCATTGGACATCATTCTTGCCTGCCCCTCCTCGATCCAGTCCTTCACCCGCGTGGCCAAGCTCCTTGGACGTCATAGCTCGGCAGACTCGTAATGCTGGCCAGGACAAAACCTTGGAATGAGCCTCACAAAATGTGCGCGCATGCACAACCACGGCTCTCCGGATTGGGCACCTCTGCGACAGTGCTCAAATAGCCTGTCCCACAAGCAAGTCTGCAGGGACGGCGGTGGTTTTGTCAGCAGCCTGTCCCCTGCCTCCGTTGCCCAGAAGATGCAAAGCTTTGGCAAAAATCGCTCGGTGGACGGCCTCAAGATCCATGTGCTATGAGAGGCAGTGTGCTTAAAGGCCAAAGCGTTCCGGCCTCGCCATCGCACCCAGCACCCGAGTAGAGAGGAGCTGCCGAGGGATGTCAGACATGTTTTCACAAACACCGCCTGCCTCTGCTCGACATGACCAAGATGAAACGTCGGTTCCCGAGTCTACAAAGGGTCTAGCTGCGCATGAAATGGCCCTGCTCTTTAACGACATCGGGCCTGCCGCAGCTGCCGTATGTTCCGGGTTTGGCACAAAGGGTGGGTTGGCCAAGATGGCCTAGCAGGGCTCGCAGCTCGCTTTCCGGGAGACAAGAAACACTTTGAAGCCAGACAAAAACAGGAGCCCTTTGCTTGCCGCGGGAACAAAACGAACACAGCAAAAGGAATCCGTTGAATCAAGACACAAAGCATTACAGTTCCATTCCGTAACCAGAAAAAGCAGTGCTGCACGGTCCGGAGTCCGGAAACAAGCACCAGTTAGATCACACTCTGCGTGTGTGTGTGTGTGTGTGTGTGTGTGTGTGCGTGTGCGTGTGAGTGTGCGT